TTGTTTTGTGAGGAACTATTTCTAATTTGGCAGTCTTGAGATCAGTAAAGACATATGGATGACAATCTTCAGCGCTACTTACCACATACACTGTTCCCTTCTTATGAAGACACACAGGCTGAACAACAAAATACAATCCTGAGTTAGAAAACAGCTGCAGAATGTTCTCCTCTCACCCCAGAAACTGACAGACAAAACAGGTGTATGTGTGGATGGCTAGCATACCTTAAAGGGGAACAACTGCTTTAGCCATTTATTGGTACATTTCAACTGACCTTGCCCTAAGGGACCAAATGCCATGGTTCAAGTTCCGTCTACAGTTTCAGTTTCAAACACCAGCAATCAAACCTTTAAGGTTAATATGCACCTTTCAATAGTGGGACCCAGTGCCAAGCTTAGGTATTACTTACTTATACAAGCTATTTGTCTGTATTTCAAACTAAATTTCTGAGAGTCTCTAAGTCTTGTCCACTCCTCTGCACCATATTTGCTGTCATAATATGTTGTATTATTTTCACAATTTCCCACAACTTCCCAGTATTTCTATTAACTGGTACTTCCATATTTTTGAAGGGGAATTTGAAAAAGTACTAAAATAAGAAAAAAAAGTACTCCACTTACTTCCTTAGGTAATGGTTTCTTAAATAAGGACTAAATGCCTGGAATAGTTCAAATATTACACATATTTCTGAGTAAAGAAACTTCCTTTCCTTCTTACCCTTTTTACCCTTCTTCGTCCCTCCCAAATCCCTTGACTTGTATCTCAGATTTAGGTGGACTAAGTAGCGGCGGTAAGCAATGCACCAAGGGTCAAAGAGTTTGCTAAAATCTGGGTACACTAATGGATTCCCAGTTTTAACTCAACTCTGCTAACTACCTTTACTATCTACACCAAGACAATACATTTTATTAAACTTTTTCTTTTTAATACATTTAATTTTTTTAAAGATGTTTAAGTAATCTCACACCCAACATGGGACATGAGCTCAAAACCCCAAGATCAAGAGTCCCATGCTCTAATGACTGAGCCAGCCAGGCACCTTAATGATATATATATTCTTTAAGATTTTATTTTTACATAATCTCTACACCCAATATGAGGATCAAACTCACAACTCCCAAGATCAAGAGTTGTACACTCTACCAACTGAGAACCAGCTAAGCACTCCTTGAACTAATTTTAAACTTACAAGAAAAACTGCAAAAATACTGTAGAGTTCTCTTATATTTTTATCTAGTTTCTCCTAAAGTCAACATCTCATAAAATTAAAGTACATTCATAAAAACCAAAAAAGAATGGTAAAAATCAGTTAGATAAACTACAGACTTGTTCAAATTTCACCAGTTTCTCCATTAATGTCGTTTTTCTGTTCCAGGTACAACCTGGGATCTCATATTGCATTTAATTGTTAATTCTCCGCATCTCCAAACTGTGACAGTTCCTCAGCCTGTAATTTATACTTTCTTAGTCTTTGTGACTTTCACACCTTTTTGAAAAGTAACGGTCACTTATTTTGTCTAATGATCCTCAACTTGGGTTTGTGTAATGTTTTTGCATTCATTTTGTTGCTCCAACTTTGGCCATTAGGAGCTCCTTCAAGTTGGCTCCTGTGTCCTTTCAACCAGGCCTCTAAACTTGTTTGAGCATTTCCTTGAATTTCAAGCACTACAAGATGTTCCAGGCTCCCTGTCCCAGCCCTGGAGTCGTCTATGTCTCCAAAAATCTTAGTTCTTTTTATCAAAGGAGAGTGTTGAAAAACCAGTTTCACTGTCATGCCAACAATTTTGACAGCCACCACTGACATTTGTTGCCTTAGTAAACTCATTAACTGGAAACCATCATTGTCATGTTGGAGCATGTTAGAAATGCAAATTCTTTGGCCCCACCCCAAACCGACTTAAACCAGAATTTTTGAGAGGCTGGTGCTGGAGTTTGTGTTTTAAGAGGCTCACCAGATCATTCCAATGTTTCACCACAAAGTTTGAGAAACACTACTTTAAAGAATAGTTTTCTGGCACTATAAACTCTATGTTTATCTCCAATTTTAAAAAGTTTACTCAATAATTCATCTTGTATATAAATCATACTTTCATTGAAAAAATTAATATAGATAAATGCATCATCTGTTCAGGCACTCAACACTTCTCTATCCTTCACCATTTTCCTATAAAATATGTTTTTAATGTGGTCACAGTAGTTACAAATACTGTTACTTTAATACAAAGAAGTTTTAAGTCAGCCTTCAGGATCAATTCCTGTCTACATATATGACCTAACGTACACACACAGAAGCTGCAAATATAAATCCCTTGCAGTACTGTCCTCTGAGGTGAAGACTGCCTAGGCGGTAGCTGACTGCTCCAGCATCTGACTTGAACTCTTCTCTATGTCTTGTTTTCTTAACCACAAAAAGGAGTAACACTACCTAGAGGAAAGAGGCACTGGAAGGGTTTAAACAGCTAATATTAGTGCAGCATTTGCCATAATGAGAGCATACAAGAAGCCCTCAAAAACTATTTAACTATTAAATAAAAGTGCACTAGAGATTTTTATTACTTTTATTATTATTTTAATGTTTATTTTTGAGAGAGAGACACACACACAATCCAAAGCAGGCTCCAGGCTCTGAGCAGTCACCAGAGAGCCCAGTGCAGGGCTGGAACTCATGGATCGGGAGATCATGACCTGAGCTGAAGTCAGATGCTTAACCAAACTGAGCCATCCAGGCACCCCAAGATTGTATTTTTTGAAATGAGGAGAGCAAGAGGAAACTGTACTAAAAGAAAATTCTGCTGTTTCTTCACTAGTAGATCAGAATAAAGGCAGAGCCAGACAGCTCTATTTATAGAATTAAAACAAAACAGAAGTTAACAAACCAATCTTTTAAACTTGACTTTCTGCAAAAAAGGTTATTGCATTCACATTATGCATACCCATGGTCAAGGGCTAAACCAGAGTATGTGTGTATATATGTGCATATATACACAATATGCGTGTGTGTATATATATGTATATATATATAAAACAATTTGCTCTTTTGTTTTTAACGTTTATTCATTTTTAAGAGACAGACTGAGCAGGGGAGGGGCAGAGAGAGAGGGAAACACAGAATCTGAAGCAGGCTCCATGCTCTGAGCTGTGAGCACAGAACACAGGGCCCAAACCCAAGAACTCTGAGATCATGACTTGTGCTGAAGTCAGATGCTTAACCAATTGAGCCACCCAGGCGCCCCACAATTTGATCTTTTGAAGTATTAAAATTATAGGTGAATTTTCTTTCTATTTTGATTATCAAAATCACGGACCAACTCCTGTAGTGTCAGCAAAAAGGAAAGGAGCCCAAGTTCCCATCTGCTGAGTCCTTAAACTATCCCATTTAACACTCCAAATAACCCTATGAATGTCTAACTTTGCAGATGAGAAAGGAGATCAGAGCAATAAAGTCACACAGAGACAAAACGGGAATTCAAACTCAGCTCTGACTCCAAACCCTATACTTATGACCAATGTTGGGGACACTGTTCTTTATTCACAAAATGTTTGATTTGCTGTACAAAACTTATGATAAAGTGCAATTACCTCTTGTGGGACACAAGAGTAGTCATAAGATGTAGAACACTAATGAAATTTTAACACAATTAAAATTCTAAATGCAAAATGAGTAACAGCAGAAAGCAGACAGGGATTCCCTGAGCAAACTTAAACTTCCCTTCAGGAAATTCAAGAGGCACTTCAGAGAAACATAGATTTCCACAGTATACAGTTTAAAATAACTTCTTAGGCAAAAACAAATTATACACAAGACACAGTACCTTATTAAAATACTCAATAATCCTCAAATATTATTAACTAAACTCATAAGTTACTGTTTTCATGAGTTAGAGGAGCTCTCGGGTTCATATTATCTCTGTGCTAGTAAGGAAAACAAATGAAATAGAGCTTAAGTGAGTCATTCGTGCCTATGTGATAAACCAGCAGCAAAACTGGTAATCAAGTTGTGGACTCTGCCTTCAGCCTAATAAACGTTACTGAGAAAAGGTGCTCACTTAAAGTGTCCATAGTAAATGTCAGTTTTTCAAACTATTCTAATCCATGTAGACTCTTCCAAGAGGATTTTCAGTTCTTCTATCACGAAATTCCTTTTCTAATTAAATGGTTTTCCACTAACCAATCTATATGCTAATCATGTGCTTAAAAAATAAAACTGGTAAATATGGATAGATCCCACAGCCCTAATTCTTAAAAAAAAAAAAAAAAGACAAAGAATTTCTCATACAGATCTATAATAAAATGTTTTAAAAATCTAAAAACCGGTAAAACTAAAACAAAAGCAGAATCAGATTAAGAGAACTCACTCCTGTTATCTGTGTATAAAGTCTAACAAGCCCTACTGATAAAGTAGAGAGTACTATATACACTTTGTTCTTTCCCCTCTCCTGCCACCCCCGGCGTTTTTAGAGTCTATATACTTTCCTGAAGGAAGAAAAAAGGGGTAAACTTTCTCAAGGGGTATGAAATATAACAGAATACATACATAATATGTAAACAAATGAATAATTGTAGGGTCCAACTAAAATTTCAAACTTTGCCCTTTTTAAAATCATTAAGGTTAAAAATGGTGGGGGAGGGGGGTGGCACTACTTTATAAGGATTACGACAACTAATGAGGCGATCCTGCTAGGCACGCAGGTAAAAGGAGTAATCACCACCTGCACTGGTAGTCATTTCCCGTTTACATTGAGCCTTACAGGAATTCTGCTTCTCGTCTCAAAGTCCAAACCAAACATTTATTCCCACCTTAATCTGTTTACTGTTTACAAGATTCTGTTTCTCTTCTTCTACTACAAAACAAAAATGTGCCCCCAACCTGCCCCGTTTAAGGTTTTTGCGGTAGGGAGGTGGGGGCGGGGAGGGTTCGTTTTGGAAAAACCTTTCGAAAGAAGCTTTCAGATCTAACAGTAACACACGGAAAAGTTGTATATATATTTTACTTACTTACAAATTCTAGCAGGGTCTTAAATCGTCGACTGTCAACGTCTGGGGAGCCCTTCGGGTGTTCTTTTTGCCCCACAACGCCGGGCTGCACCCCTCCTCGGACGTTGCCGATCAGAACGTCGTCCCAGTCCCTGTCCACGTGACGAAGACCTTCGTGGGGAGGGGAGGGGCGCACAGAATGCTGGGACTGGTAGTCGGCCAGCCCCTCCTCCTCCCCAGTCCGCACGCCCCTCTCTCCACACCCCACCCGCTGGCCAATGCCAGGGTGAGAGGCGTGGTGAGTGCCCACCACACAACGGCTGAGGTCTACAGCCCCTGCAATCCGATAGGAAAGCACGCATCTCTACAGGACCCTGCCGAAAAACCCATGGAGCCAGTACAGTGAGGGCACTACCCAATAATGGCAAGCACCAGTCAGACGGGACTTGGAGCTGGGCCTCTGCCTTTACTAGGTGCGTGTCCTCAAACGAGTTGCTTAATCTAACCCTCAGTTTGCTCGTGTCAAATGGGGACAAGGCAACTTACACACCTCAACAACAACGTTGTGAGTAAACATGCTAATATACATAACGGTACCTACTAAATGATAGTAATAAATGATGAAAAATAGCTATTATTTTGATTAATTCCATAAATGTGCAGATCGAGAGATGGCAAGGAATTTACAGAAGAACACACGATTGGTTAGGGGCAAGTACGTCTAAAATTTCTGATGTAACACAACACAGAAGAAACCTACTCTTAAATCTCACTTTCCCTTTAATTTTTTTCTGCAAGACTTCTGACCAAAACTCTACTTCGATTTTTATCTGATTCCCACAGCATGTAAACTTCAAGGTGGGGAGGGTTGTCTTTGGTCTCTCACTACCATAATACCCGTGCAGAGAAGAGGGTTGGTCTAGTACGTTGCATAAGATATATATTTATTCGATTAATGATTATGTAATGGTGATTTTTGGTGCCTTCATCTCTCATTCTCTTTCAGCAAAAGTCACAGGATTCCTAAATGCAGTTTAATAATTGACTGCAATTTCTAATTCAAAAAAGAGTTAAGCATGGGGCGTCTGGGTGGCTGTCGGTTAAGCGTCCAACTTTCGCTTAGGTCATGATCTCACGGTTCATGGGTTCGAGCCCCGTGTCGGGCTCTGTGCTGACTGCCAGCTCAGAGCCTGCAGCCTGTTTCAGTCTGTGACTCCCTCTCTCTCTGACCCTCCCCTGCTCACACTGTCTCTCTCTCCTAGAAATAAATAAAACATTAAAAAAAAGAAAAGAGTAAATAGAATAGTATTTACTATATCCTATTCATTTCATTGAATTTTATTTAATTTCAGTATAACATTTCTACCTAGACATTTTCATTTTCATTAACAGTCTAAAATATTTTCCATTCACTTGTGAGAATGGGGAATAAATGGAGCTAGCTACTATTTCTTTATCTTGCTTTCTTTTAATATTTTAATCTTTTCCTTATTAAAAAAGAACAGTGTTGTAGTGCCTGGGTGGCTCAGTTGGTTAAGCGTCTGACTTTGGCTTTGGTCATGATTTCAGTTTGTGGGCTGGAGCCCCTTCCTGGGCTCTGTGCTGACAGCTCAGCGCCTGGAGCCTACTGCGGATTCTGTGTCTCCCTCTCTCTGCTCCTCCCCCACTTGTACTCAGTCTCTCTTCAAGAATAAAACATAAAATTTTTTAAAAATAATTTAAGAAGTGTTGCCTTTCTGCTAAGATATAAAGTTATTTCCCTATCTGACCAGAAATGTGATTATGCACAATGAATTGATACATGCTTTCTCAGTAACTAGATTTCTGCTTAAAACAAACCTCATGCACAAAATTTATGTTATTTTAAAATAAAATGTTTCCTTTAAAATAGCTGCTTTAGGGGCACCTGGGTGGCTCAGTCGGTTAAGCGTCTGACTTCGGCTCAGGTCACGATCTCACAGTTCGTGGGTTCAAGCCCCGCATCAGGCTCTGTGCTGACAGCTAGCTCAGAGTCTGGAGCCTGTTTCGGATTCTGTGTCTCCCTCTCTCTCTGACCCTCCCCTGCTCATGCTGTCTGTCTCTCTCAGAAATAAATAAAACATAAAAAAAAAAAATTAAAAAAAAAAATAAAATAGCTGCTTTAGTGGTGCTTGAGTAGTTCAGTCACTTAAGCATCCAACTTGGGTTCAGGTCATGGTCTCACGGTTCACGGGTTCGAGCCCGCCCTGGGCTCCATGCTGACAGCGCACAGCCTGCTTGGGATTATCGCTCTCTCCCGCTCTGCTTCGTACCAAAACTCATGCTTTCTCTCTCTCAAAGCAAATGAATAATCTTAAAAACACAAATAAAAGAGCAGTTTTAGAAATCCAGCATCAACAACACTAGATTTCTGGACTCACAGCTAGGTATACAAATTGATGCCATTTAATCTGAATTTAATTTTTAATAGAGGTCTTCCCTAATACATGGCAAATACCCTAAGGCTAAAGAATACTCATTAATTTAATTCATATATTTATCAAACATCTATTCTGTGCCAACATAGATGTTTGATAAATATATGAATTAAATGTGTGTTATAATCTTTGTTATGATCATTTCTTCTCTAACCTGTTTTCTCTTTTGAGCCACTGAATTCCTCCACATCTCTCAAATTCCCTAGGTAATTGTTTAACAACAAGAGCTCTTGCCCCTCTCGGTAATGGTGATCCAGCAAAACCCTTCCACTACTGGCTATGAATCTACTGCCATGTCTTTTGGGCCACCCTTAATAGTTTGGAAAACATCTACAGCAGCATATCTGGTTTGGCAACAGTTCAGCTTCACCTCACAGTTAGTGATGAAAGTTGGTATCTGTAAGACTGCTAGGTGTGGGAGGCAAGTGTGGCAGGGCTAGGATTACGGATTCTTATTATCTAGACCAAAGAGGGAAAAGCCTAAGCAAATATATGTGTTAATGTTAAAGCTACCATGCCTTTGACTTTATTTAATATTCTCAAGATTTTCTTTGAAAGTGAAAGCCCTTGGTTTCTTTCCGAAGCCTTTACAAGCATTTTAAAATTTCAAAACACCACCACACTGATTATTCAATATGTAGAACGTCTCATCTTCTGACTGTTCAGCAATATGTAGAACCTCTTATTCTTTCTTTTTAAATGTGTCCCCAAACCTAAGTTTTACAAGTTTGTATCCAAGTTTCTATGTAGAGACTATACTGGTAAAAGTTTTACAGACGTACTTAATATGCATTAACGTTCATAATATGAACTTTGTATATTAATACTATTAAAGTTTTATATCCTTTAGTAATTACACTACAGAACTTTTACAATTATAGGCTAATGAGCACTATAATAGGCACCTTATAGAGAAAGCATTACTTAAATCATGAATAAAAGCCAGGTATTACCAAGTATCAATACTTTTCAGCATTTTATCAGAAAAGAAGACTCACAAACTTTCCACATACTATGCCACTTATCCCAAGCTGACAAAGGAGAATAATGCTTTTAATTTTCCCTTAAATGGTTAACAAATCTCCTTTGTTACTGTTTCTCCAGCTTCTTTGACTGTATCCTATACTGTAAACAGAACTGAACTATGCTCCTACCGCCTAAAACCTAGGTGACTCTAAAGCTTAACTGTTTGTAGCCAAATTTATGGACTATTGTGAAACTATAATACACTTGGAGATTTCATTGAGACTTGTGTCCAGTTTAAGCAAATGTTTTTCAGTGGAAAAACATTCAACGGTGATTTACAATACTCGAGATAAACGTCTTCAAAAATGTCAGAATGATTCATTATAACTGGTTTCCAAAATTACAATTTCTTAAATCTATTCACTAAAATCAATTCCAGAAAAGCCGTCTTCCAGAACAATCTTTCTCTCGATTATTGACCTTCTCTATGCCTAAATTTGGCTAGATATTGCAGATTAGCCACATCTGTAAATGTGAACTACAGAGCTGTAACAAAAACAGCTTTTATCATGCTTTCTTGTTCAATAAACTCAATGCTGGAATCCCTAAATCAAAGGGACCATAAATTAAAATTACAGCGCTCTTATTTAATCCAAGTATTTGTTCATGTCTCAAGGTCCTTAACACAGCACTAATAACGTTTTCAGAACAGTGCTGCCGGAATAGAGCTTTTACACGAAAAGACGACTGCATACATTCTGCAAATGGAAATCTACCCGAGCGTACGCCTGCAGATACGACTGTGCACTCTCAACAGGTGACTTAAAATTTAAAACTGGCTAACTGCCTTCAAAAGGGGCTTAAAAACTAAAAAAAAAAAAAAAATCCAAGAAAAGATGGCACTCGGCGAAGGATCTTTATACGATCACTCCAACAATCAACTTAAGGCCCGGCCAAGGTAGCCATCGATGAGAAAGGATCCGGGAAAACTGCGTCACAGCCTGGGGGCGAGGACCGAAACTTCTCCACCCGACGTTCGCTCGGCCCTCCCCGGAGACTCGGCCCAGGGGACCGGGACCCGCGTCTGCTGCGTGCGGGCAACAGTTGCCACGAGCAGCCGGGCTGAGGAGAGGCAATTTGCCCAGCCAGTTGTCCCTTCTCCGTCGTCCCCTCCCTCCTTCCCCCAAGGCCACGGACAGCGACGTCGTCCTCCCTCTCCTCCTCCTCTTTGGTGCCTTCAGCCAGGAGGCGGGAGTGACCCGCAGCAGCTGACCCAACATAGGCACTGCCTCTCCCACAGCCCTCAGGACACACCATGGGCCCAGAGGCGGGTTTGCAGCACAGCAGCGACGACGCAGGCGGCGGCCCCGGCGACTCTCAACTGCCTCCCTGACCGCCGCGACCACTGCCCGACACCCCGAAAAGTCGTCGCCACCCACGGCAGGAGAGTCTCGGGACTCCAAATCCACCTTCGCGATCGACTCAAGCTACGTCAACAACTATGGCGGGCGCCGGGCGGCGGGCGGCGCCGGGGAGGGAAGGATGGGGGGTGTACGTCACACCCCGGGCCCCCCTGCGGGAAGGAAGGCGCCGGCTCGCCCCTCAAAATGGCGGCGGCAGCGACGCGCCTGCGTACGGAACCCCTTCGCCGTCGCGCCCCGGCCGGCGGGAAGTGAGGTTCTCGGAAGAGC